CGCCGGACATCCTGGTATTCAAAAAACTCACGATCGCACTCGTAGTCGCTTCTGCTGGCCCGGTATTTCTACTAGCATCGCGCGCTACGTCAGTTTCTGTGTTCCGTGTCAGCTTCGTAAAATACAGAACAACTACACCGGCTGGGCCTCTACAGCTAATTCCGTGCCCCACAACACCATTTGAAGTTGTAGGTATCGACCTTAACGGCCCTCTTCCCGTCACATCTACTGGCAAACGATGGATAGTGACCGCCGTTGACAACTTGACACGCTACGCGGAGACAACGTATGCATCTACTCCCTCTGCATCATAAGTTGTTGACTTCATTCAGCACGCCATCATTCAGCGACACAAAGCGCCTCGTGTATTGCTGAGTGATCGTGGAACGGTGTTCCTGTCTGAAGTGCTAAATGAAGTATTGCGCGCCTCTGGAATAAGGCACAAGACAACTTCAAACTACCACCCTCAAACCAACGGTCTCACTGAGAGGTTTCACCGTACTCTTGCTGAGATGATAGCCGTCTACATCAGTCCAGATCACAAAAACTGGGATACTCTCCTACCATTCCTCATCTTTGCTTACAACACGGCCGTTCAGCGCACCACCGGTTACTCGCCGTTCTACCTAGTTTATAGACGTTCCCCTACTTTCTTTCTCGACGTTTCCTTTTTCAACACTAATGTCACCTTATCTCCGTCTTCCAGCAAGGAATGCATTTCAAGACTAGCCCGGTGTCGCGATCGTGCTCGCATCAACACGGAAGCGCGACAGCAAGATCGAAAAGTCATTTATGACGCATCCCATCGCCTTGTACTCTTCCGACCTGGTTACGAGGTGCTCTGTTCACACATATTCGTACACCTGGTCTGTGCGACAAGTTTCAGCGACACTTCATTGGGCCTTACATAGTTATCGAGAAGACTTCGCTCGTTAATTATCGCGTGACCCCACTTGTCCTCCCAACAGACCGCCGTCACCGCACCACAGAGATCATGCACGTGTCTCTCATGAAACCCTTCAGGCGACGTTCTCTGCCATATTGACTTGCTACGGCCAGGTTGGCCGCTTCGATGTGGGGGGAATTAGTGTAGGCATTCATTATGCCCTTCTTCTTATATATGTATTATGATAATCATCATCAGCCGTCTGGGTTCCTGTCCTCATCTTCACAATCATCATCGGGTGGGTGCGCGCTCAGTCTCAGACTGCCCGTTCGCTGCTGAGCCCTTGGCTGAATAAAAGCTGTCTCAACCCAGACGTCAATATATATATATATATATATATATATATATATATATATATATATATATATATATATATATGAGATCTAACAGATAGTAATGCCAAGGAATGTATAGGGGAAGTTATTAGAAGTTATTAGTTATTATTCCTGCTCACGGCTGGTTATTTTTTCAACCACTTTTCTTTCTTCTTATTTACATTCCATTGGTTGTAATAACTTCCCCTATATATTCCTTGGCATTGCTGTCTGTTAGACCTCAATAATATTGTGTCAAAACACGGAAAAACGAGCCCTCAGGTATACGCTTCTGTCCCTTATATATATATATATATATATATATATATATATATACTGTCTGTTAGATCTCATTACTATTGTGTTAATACACGGAAAAACGAGCCCTTATATATACACTTCTTTCCCTTATTTCATTAAACGAGGGCCTCTTAATGGCAGACTTGGTGTGTTTAGGTTGTATAAAGAGGGACAATTAATCAGCTGCCCGCTCATAATAAGTTCACGTGCTACGTGACGCCAAAACATGCGCATAAGAGTGACACTCGTCGTTTGGCTTATAGATGGCGCTGACTGTCACTCCTACCTCTAAATTCACATATAAACCCAAAAGCGTGGATGGAGGGAAGGCCGCTGTGGTAGCTCAGTGGTTAGAGCATCGAACGCTTTATTCGAAGGTCGTAGGTTCGGTTCCTGCTCACGGCTGGTTATTATTCAATCCACTTTTCTTTAATCTTATTTACATCCCATTGGTTCTAATAATTTCCCCTATACATTCCTTGGCATTACTGTCTGTTAGATCTCATTAATATTGTGTTAAAACACGGAAAAAGGAGCCCTTAGGTATACACTTCTTTCCCTTATTTCATTGAACGAGGGTCTCCTAATGGCAGACTTGGTGTGTTTTGGTTGTATAAAGAGGGACAATTAATCAGCTGCCCGCTCATAATAAGTTCACGTGCTACGTGACGCCAAAACATGCGCATAAAAGTGTTTTCACACTCGTCGTTTGGCTTATAGATGGCGCTGACTGTCACTCCTACTTCTAAATTCACATGTAAACCCAAAAGCGTGGATGGAGGGAAGGCCGCTGTGGTAGCTCAGTGGTTAGAGCATCGAACGCGTTATTCGAAGGTCGTAGGTTCCGTTCCTGCTCACGGCTGGTTATTATTTCATCCACTTTTCTTTACTCTTATTTGCATTCCATTGGTTCTAATAATTTCCCCTGTACTTTCCTTGGCATTACTGTCTGTTGATCTCATATATATATATATATATATGACGTATCAAGTGATGGTTAGTAGACGTAGAGAAGGAAGAAGTGCAGAGATTGAATAAACATGGGGTATGAGCCAGGCCACGTCTCCCAGTCATCATAGCGTCACACGAGTCGACAGGATAAAGACCTGGCGGCCACTTCATCAACCAGCCACCATCTCCGAATGTCTCAGCAAGACGCAGTGACTGAACGTGGACCACGAAAGTACATCCCAACACTACACCAAGACCAGCATTATGACAGCACCATCAGACGACCTTCCCATCCCCAAGTACACCGGAGCAGCGGACGATGGACCTGTACAGGACTGGTTCGACCTGTTCGAGCACCACGCAACCGCTGCATCATGGTCGGAACGGGAAATGATCACCAACTTCACTGACTACATCTCCGGTGAGGCATTCAAGTTTTACCTAATTCACATATTCGAGAACGACGAGTCATGGCAAAAAATCAAAGAGGAGATGATTACCCGTTTTAATGACTATGACCAAGACTTCCTCATTACCGACCATCTGCATACAACCACACTCGGCTGTCACAGTCCACGCTTATTTCTCAAGAAACGTGGCGTTCCACCAGGTTTCTCTTCACAAAAGTCGGCATTTTCAAAGTCGTGGCACCAACATACGACACGAGACGTCGCTCACCCTACTGATGCCTTTCATGCTTCGTCTCGGATACATGGTCCACTACCTGGTTTTCTACGACGCTGCTCTCCAAAGGCTCCTAACAGTCGCTTTTCGTGTCATAAGGACGCCTTGTTCATGGTAGACCAGCTGACACATGAGGAAAATACCAAACAACGCCAAGATGACTCAAAGAGTGAAAATCAGTCGTCACGCATTGGAGCAGCTTACTCCCCATCTCGCAGACTTGGCCAACCTCCTGGTTTTCCATCGCTTGGCTCTTTCGTGATTCAAAATGTCCTTCTCACATCTAGCACGCTCACAATGGTCGGGATAGAGTTGCGGTGCTCGGACGATGCTACGCCAAGCCCTGGACTTACCACCCAGATTCATGCGCCAGAACAGCTCGCATCGTTAGTTTCACAGAAAGAGGGCCATTCACAACTCAAACCTTACCGAAATACCCCTGTTGCAATGTTGCCGTCCAGTGCGCAGCCACCAGAAACTCCAAACACAGAAGGCTCAGACGCATCGAACGTCGCATGCTACCAGGCGCAAGAACCACTCATAGTGAGCCACGAAGAAGAAGCCCCTGATGAACTATCTGTCAACTCTGAATGTTTCTTGTCGCAAGAGTTCATTTCCACGGTGCCACAGACTTGCCAAAATTTGCATTTTCAACCTGGTGATGCGACGTCACATGTGGTACCCTCATGCAGTGATCACCAATCCAAGAATCGAACAAATTCAGAAGTGCATGATACATCAAACCTTGTACACAGTTGTCTTTCGGAAGCGCCCTTAATGAACCCCGTCACCGAAGCCTCTGAAGAGCATGCTAGCAATGATGACGCATCGCCAACTATGCCCGACAAGCAAGACACCAGTTCACCATTCATCAGCTGTCTACAGGACGCGTCAAACACCGAACGTAATGAATGCCCCATTCCGGAACGGGTGCCACTGCAGCCATCTCGTGAGCAGCACCAGCAACGCAAGCAAAACGAAGTTCACAAACTCAGACGCCAAATTCAATGGAAGCGCGTTCACCAGTTGAAGAACATCAAAAAATACGATCTCCAAACCAACAAGGCGTCAGACACTTTCGGACAAAGAAAAGTCGCCAGAAACGCTCCCAGCGCCTGCTATTCCGCCGACTGCAACACCACAGGAAGCGCCGAGAAAGACGCGGAAGCACTGCTTGCAAATTGCAAGCACTCAGGCACTCCAACACAGTCTGTCGAGAAGCACGCAAGCAAGAAGCATCGGGATTGCACCATTCACGGCGAAAAATACAACCCCGAAAACATCCGAGCTGCCGATGCAACAAGGCGTTTCAACCTTGGTGAGCCCGAACGAGATTTCTAGCAGTACTGTCAGTGTCCACGTGTATCCCGCTCTGTCCGGAACGCAAGAGTCAGCCTCGCCCACCAGAGTTGTTATAGAGTGTACCGGACTGCTCCCTCGGGCTTGAAGATTTAAAGAGACTGTGGAACTCCGTCGGGACGTGATACTGCGAATTTAGACATTGTCTGTTTATTGGCTTCTTCAATTTTTGTAGGTTATAAACGGTGCCATCTTTCGGGGGGAGGGGGAATCGTGTGACGTATCAAGTGAAGGTTAGTAGAGGTAGAGAAGGAAGAAGTGCAGAGATTGAATAAACATGGGGTATGAGCCAGGCCACGTCTCCCAGTCGTCATAGCGTCACATATATATATATATATAAATATCTCTCTCTCTCTCTCTCTCTCTATATATATATATATATATATATATATATATATATATATATATATATATTCGTCGCTATCAACGTCGCTGTTTTCCTGCCGCGGAGTTCTTCCAGCCATGACGAGCCCTAGCGAGACCGAGAACTCTGCAGGTACCGCACCCCCGGCGAAGGCCGAAAACCCGGCAGAAACCCAGTCACACAGGAGACAGCCGCCAGCCCGACGTCCGACGCCACCACGACCGCTGCTTCGGCGCCGGCAAACAAGCCCAGCGTTCACAAGACGGATTACGAAAAAGATGTAGTCTATCTCTACCAGTTCACTCGCTGTCCAACTTTGCCCGGAATCTCGCCTTTCTGTTTGAAAGTTGAGACTTGGCTGCGCATGACACAAGTGAAGTTATGAGAATGTGGACCACAAGCTCAAGTTTAAATCGAAGAAAGGTCAACTCCCGTTTGTGGAGCTCAACGGCGAGGAGATAGCAGATTCTGACATCATCATCAAGCAACTGAGCCAGTTCTTTGGCAAAGATCTGGATGCCGGCCTAACCACAGAGGAGCGCAACATCTCTCACGCCTTCTCATCTATGCTCAATAACCACACAGGCTGGGTGTCTCGCTGCTGGCGTTATCATCACCCTGGCCAGTTTCTCAAGGCAGCCCAGATGGATGTCAAGCGCATGCTCAACTCAAAGTTGCCTAAAGGCGTCCTGCAGTTCTTTTTCAAGCTTGCTTTTAAAAGCAATGTCCAGCAGACCATTGGCCATGGCCTGGGCCGTCACACAACAGAGGAGATCTTGAAATGTGGGAAGGAAGATCTTAAACACCTGTCACAGTATTTGGGCACCAAACAGTTCTTCTTTGGCACAGAGCCTCACTTGCTCGACTGTGTGGCGTTTGCCCACCTCTGCCAGTTTGTGTACGTGCCCTTCGGTGGTCTCCTGGAGTTCATGGAGCAGGAATGTGCTAATCTGCTAGCATTCGTGGAGCGCATGAAGGAGCGCTATTGGGCTGACTGGGACGAGATCTGCAAGACCCTGGAGCTCAACACGCATCTGCCCAAAAAGGCACCAGATGAGGAGCCCAAAAAGGCTGCCGACGAGTCTGCCCCAGCTGCTGACGAGAAGACTCCTCCTGCCGAGGATGCTGTCAAAAAACCTGAAGCTACTGTTGACGAGGTCAAGAAGGAAGAGGTTATCAAAAAGGAAGTTGTCGAGGAGGTTGTTACTAAGACCATCACAGAGGTCAAGGAGTGAGCAGTTTCGGCACTGGAGAAAGGCTTTAGTCATTTTTCCGTTCCAAGGGTTTGGGAGGTGGGGGGGTAATAGTTTCGTTCTTAACGAGACCTCAAGAAGGGTCGTTTTCATCTCATTGTGCAGCGAAGCATAAGGGATCTCGCATTTTCATGCTTCTTTAATGGAGAGCAGTTCTTCGTTTTTTGGGGGGAGTTTGGAGGCGAAGAGAAATCCCGTGCAGTTGATGCAGTGTATGGTTTTTAGCAATGTGCACAGAGCTAGAAAGTAATATACTGGGAGCTCGTTGCACAGGGCATTCAGAGCTTTTACGAGCAAGTCATGAGGGAAAGGGGCAGCAGTGCATTTGAAATTTTCGTTCCTCTTTTTTTGTGCATGGGTGGCCAACTTTCATGCGTGTTTTGTTTGGAGGGCTGGTCAGATCGAGGAGCTGAAGACATCTTATACTCCTGATCCACTACATACTCAAAGCAATGCATATTATATTATATCAAAGTTGTAAATTTGCTCATGGTGTATTTTTCATCTGTTGTACATCCTTTTGTTTTTAAATTCTGTGCACACATGTAACTATATGCTCGTTTCTGTTGTAGAGATCTGTTTTTGTTCCTGCTACTTGAGTTCGCCTTGAGGTCTAGATGCCAACCTCGCTGAAACTGCTGCTTGGGCCAGTTGTTCATGATTATTTAGACAGATCTATCAGCGCAACAGACAGAACTTTTAGAAAAGAAACACACGCAGTGCTGTGTGTGTGTTTCTTCTCTAAAACTTGTCTTTTTTTGCGCTGGTAGATCTGTTTAGATGCGGAATTGCTCAAGGAAATTTTTGACGGTTGTCTTGCCATCTTTTTGCATACATGCTGTTATTGTATTCATATACAGCATACTGTAGATCTCATGTGAGTGTTTACAGCAAAAGTTTTTATGGCGTTTTTGCTCGACCATTTGTGTGAACAAATTTGCAGCCTGATCAACATTCTTTGTATGTCCCTTTTAATTCAATTTTTTTTGTTGATAAGTGCGTGAGGTTTGAAATGCATGCTTCAAACCTTAAAACATATATTTCATCGGGATTCGCACCAAAGGGTCTCACTGTTCAACTGCAACCCGCAATGAATAACTTCAACAAAAATGAGCAGCGGCAACGGAGCAATATCTTAAAAGATGCATCTATTAGGCTTACACAGGTCGTAATACAACACAGTACACGTAAGGCCGCGGAACTTAAAGAGGAACAAAAAGTGCGACTAAAAAAGTCAAGTTTAACGCAGTGAGAAACAGAAGAGCTGGCAAAATACGAAGGAAAAAAGAGATTGACCATTCAGGGCAAGAAAGACAAGAAATTGAGGCGAGACGGTGCGTGGCCGACATTAAAATACTCCGCCAGCAATCCTCCCACAACGTATACAGATCAACCTGTTACCTCTCATCAATCTCCACAAAAGAGCACCGATGTCACCAATGTGGTTAACCTTTCCGGCAAATCTTTGACACCTGCGCAAACAAAGCTGCTATCAAAAGGTCTAACCTTCTGCCCCGCCTCTGGCAAAATTGATGAGTTTAAACTTTACCAAGATTTGGACAACTTTGCCAGAACCATGCGTCTAAAAGAATATTTTCATGATCGAAGCAGCACGCAACAAAATCAATTTTAAGATAAATCTTGGACTCCAGGTGAACAACGAGACAAATATCTAGACATGTACATTTCAGCCGTCCAGGGTGATATAATCAGGGAATATGAAAAGCGCCGACCCATTCGCAACAATCTGTCAAAAGAGGAGCGGGAGGCTTTGCGCAGTTTAAGTGACAGCCAGAGCATCGTTATTAAACCAGCTGATAAGGGTGGTGCTGTGGTTGTACTCGACAGGACTGACCACATCAAAGAAGGGCTTCGCCAACTGACAGATGAAAATTTCTATAAACAACTCCCTTGTGATCCGACAGAGGAGTATGAAAGTACTATTAGGAGGAGGAGGAGGAAGCAACAAAAAGGGAGAAGGCAGGGAGGTTAACCAGAAAGACATCCGGTTGGCTACCCTACACTGGGGGATTAAGGAAGGGGACAAGAAAGACGAGAAAGAGGGAAGAGAGAGAAAAAAGTGGGTGGGGGAGAGACTGGCAGTAATTTCACTGCAGCGTGTTGAACTCTACCGCATGTCAGACGCGTTCACACAAGCCTGTCTTTCGCAGGAAACGCAGCAGGGCTTTCACTGCCTTGTGGGCTGTCGAGGCATGTGTACGTTGCTGTAATAGCACCTGCACAGAAAGAGGCCGATCATCCAGTCGCCGCATTGCGTTGGCAAGTACTTGTCTCTCTGAGGCAAATCGAGGACAACAACACAGCAGGTGTTCGATATTTCCGTCGGTGCCGCAAACATCGCACGCCGCGCTGTCAGTAATTCTGATTAACGTGGTATAAGCTTTCGTGAAAGCAACTCCCAGCCAAAGGCGATAGAGAAGCGAAGCTTCACGTCGATGTAGGCCGGGTGGAGGCTGGAGTTGTAGTGAAGAGTCGAGCTCGTGCAGTCGTGTACGTCGTATGCTTGGTGTGTTCCACTCAGTCAGTGTGAGACTGTGGGCCAGTTGACGAATCTGCCTCACCGCATCCGCTCTTGAAAGCGGTATCGGAACCCTGTTCGCTTCTTTATGTGACGTGCGAGCAGCATGATCTGCAGAATCATTGCCGCCTATACCACTATGCCCAGGTAACCACTGAAAGACGATGTCATGGCCTTTTTGTATTAAAAAGTGGTGAAGTTTCACGGTTTGGTAGGTCAACTGGTCGTGGCATCCGCGTCGGAGAACTGATATCAGGCACTGTAACGCTGGTTTTGAGTCAGAAAACAGCCCATTTACCTGGTCTTTCTTCTGAATTGATGTGTTCCAGTGCATTGCGCAGAGCCTCGAGTTCTGCCGTCGTAGAACTTGTCACATGTGAAGTCTTAAAACACCGAGTTACCCCTTGTGATGGTATAACCACTGCTCCACCTGAACTAGACGGCGTAGTAGAGCTATCCGTGTAAATGTGCACGTGCTTACTGTAGTTTTCTTTCAGTAGGAATAGACTCAGTTGTTTCAGGCATGTGTCGGTAAGTCCGATTTTCTCCTCATTCCTGGAATCATTAAGTGAACTCGCGGCCGGCTCAAGCTCCAAGGAGGAAGCAGTGGCTTTGATGCAGGTGCGTATGTCTCAGCAAACGATGAACGATGCTTGGAGACAATAGTGCCGTATGTCGTGCGGGGCCTTTCAGCAGCTAGGCTCGCCAGGTGGTGAGAAGGGGTCCAGGCATAATGCCTGAGGTGCATGCGCATTGTCTCGGTAATAATATGCGTATTTATCGAGTGATCTTGAGCGATGTCAATGGTTTCAGCCGTTGAAGCACTGTGGGGTACTCCAAGGCATATCTTAAGTGCTTGGGCTTGAATGCTCTGAATTGCGCGCAAGTTGGTCTTGCCGGTGTTAGACATTGCAGGTAAGCTGTACCGTAAGAATCCGATAAACAGCACTCTGTACAGTTGTAGCATGGATGGTATGGGCACTCCCCAATTCTTTCCTGCAAGGAATTTGAACATGTGGCATGTTGCGATCAGCCGCTTCTTCACATAGTTCACGTGTGGAGTCCACGACAGGTTTCTATCTATTATGACTCCCTAGAACCTGTGGCTTCTGCTGAACGATATGTATTCTTCATTAATCGATATACTGTAAGCAGACATTGGTTTCCGCATGAACGCTACCACTGCACATTTTCCGAAGGGCACCTCGAGGCCTTGTTTACGAAGATAGCATGACGTCGTTGTAGCAGCCTTCTGAAGGCGGGCGCGAAGCTGAGGCCTTGTCACACCTGATGTCCAAATGCAGATGTCATCAGCATAGACAGAAAGTTCTACAGTGCTAGGTAGCTGCTCGACTAGACCAATGAGAGTTAGGTTGAAAAGGGTAGGGCTTAGCACTCCTCCCTGAGGAACTCCTCGGCTGCTGTAATAATCAGGTGTTGGGCCATTCGCTGTCATCACGTAAAAGGATCTCAGCTGTAAGTAGCTGTACACCCACATATATATCTTGCCACCAAGACCTACTGTTTCCAAAGCACTAAGGATGGCTTCATGGGTGACATTGTCGTAAGCCCCCTTAACGTCTAGAAACAGGGCTGCGCACAGTCTCTCACAGGTTTTCTGGTGTTGAACATATGTCACCAGATCAACAACGTTGTCGATTGACCAATGGCCGCGCCTGAATCCGGTCATGGATACTGGATAGATTTCGTAGTGCTCTAAATACCACTCCATTTGTGTTAGAATCATTCGTTCCATCGTTTTTCCCACACAACTTGCAAGTGCGATAGGACGCTATGAGGCAATATCCAAAGAAGATTTACCAGCCTTTAGAAGTGGAATCAGGCGACTTGACTTCCATGTCTGGGGAACAGTACCAGTCTGCCAGGAGTCATTGTATAGGCGTAAGAGTGCCTTCCGAGCTTCGTCTCCAAGATTACAAAGGGCACGATAGGTAATGCCGTCAGGACCGGGTGCTGAAGAACGTCTGCACAGAGCCAGTGCCCCCTCTAGCTCATCCATAGAAAACTGGCATTCCTTACGGGGATCACGTGAGTACGGTGGGTCGTCAAATGTTCCCGTTCTTGATACTGTGAAATTGGAATCACCGGCAATTCTTCTACAGAAAGATTCTGCGACGTCCATCTCTCTGCATCGAGGGTGAAGTGCCAGAGATGTAAACGGGTTTCGCTGACCCAAGGTTGTGCTAAAACCCCGGACAGTTCGCCATATCAGTGATAGGGGCTTTCGTGAATCCAACGACTCGCAAAAGGATGTCCAACGTCGCCTAGCCAGTTTATCCATGTGCCGCTGCATTTTCTTTTGAATGCGTCTAGCCAGCCTCAAATCATCCATGCACTTTGTCCGTCGGTACCTTCGTTCTGCACGACGGCGTATTGCGCGAAGTTTCTCAAGCTCGATGTCGAAATCGGTGCGCTTGTGACTAGTCAAATGTGTATGCGTGGTATTCTGCAGGACAACCTTTATCGAGTCCTCTAGGTTATATGATGAGCCGTCGGTACAGCAGTCTTCCATTAACATTTTGAATTTCGGCCAATCGGTGTACTTGAGGCCTCTTGAGGACTTGGAGCTGGTGAAACCTTCTATGCACTGGTAAGTTGGTATATGGTCGCTGCCCCGC